CTCTCTCTCTCTCTCTCTCTCTCTCTCTCTCTCTCTCTCTCTCTCTCCTCTTTCTCTTTCTCTTTTTCTTTTTCTTTTTCTTTTTTTGTTTCTCTTTTTCTCCGTCTCCTTCTTTTCTTCTTGTTTATTATCTTTAACTTTGTACACAAAACATCTAATCACAAAGAATAAAAAAATTACGGACGAACACGCATCTTTATCGTAAACGAGTTACGCCTAATATAAGTTTAATTATTATTTTAAGGCTTACCTCTCTCTTTTATCTCTCACTTTTTCTCTCTGTCTTCTTCTCTTTCTTCCTCTGTCTTTTTTTACTTTTTTCAATTTGCGAACTGAGCACGTATTATGAAACTTTTCAGAATAAATTCCGATCGGAATTGTTCAGTTATTTCTTACATTTCTATTGTCTTTTCTAGAGAACACGGAATAATTCCGATCGGAATTTATTCCGAAAAGTTCCATATAATACGTGTCCTGAACGCACTATCTACACTGAGCGCATTATACGTACGTATAATATGCTATTGTCTCTTTTCAATAATTCTCAACGTTATCTTAAATTTCAAGATTGTCGGCCATGCATATATTAAATATTTTTCTCTTTGTATATACGTATCTTATACGTAGTATCTTATACATACGTAGTATCTTATATATACGTAGTAACCTATTCACTATCGTTGTATGCACAAAACATTGGTACATAAAACATATCGTTAGCAACATTCATGAAAACCGTTAATAACTGAAATAAAAGGAATTAAAAATAATATTAAAAATTATAATAAAAACATTATATAGAATTTACCTGAAACTTATCTGAAATTTTTCGATGACGACCGTTCACAGACGCGCGCTATTTAGCTTTTTAAATTTTATACTTTTTATTATAATTTATTATAATTTAACTTTTTACTACTATTACTTAATTTTTACTACGTCACACTATTATACTCACACGACATTACGCTAACGTTCAAACTGTCAAAACGTTCACACTCCGCGATGATAGTCCTTCACGAGATGAAGCAAGCCACGGCGCGACGGCAATCAATCGAGATAACTATAATCGGCATCGCGGAAAAGAGGCAATAATAACATGAGAAAGCAATATAACATTATATAATCATAGAAAATAATTCTATTTATATAGGCTACACTGAAAAAAAATACTTAGATCCAAGAAAATATTTTTTTACATAGTACCAAAATGGCTTATTTACTTAATATAATTACATATTTATTTAGAATTATATATTTTTGGTTTTATTTAAGTAAAGTTAAATTTAAGTAAAGATATCTAATTCTAAATAAATATATGATTATATTAACAATAAGTAAATAAGTCATTGGTAATTGGTACTATGTAAAAAAATATTTTCTTGGATCTAAGTATTTTTTTTCCAGTGTACAACATGCCTCATCGAATCGGTAAGATCAACAATGTAGAGAAATTCGATCCAGAATTTTTTAATATACCCGCTACGGAAGCTCATGTAATGGATCCTATGGCGAGAATGATACTAGAGCATACTTACGAAGCAGTTATCGATGCAGGAGTCAATCCTAAAGAGTTACAGGGAACAAGAACGGGTGTTTTTACAGGAATTTGCGCTGATACACAAAGCTATTCTATCTATTTCAAATCCGATGTATGATATATTCAATAATCTAATTAATTTATATAATGTTAATAAAAAAGTACATAAAAGAACCGTAACTATAAAATTCTTGTTAAAAATTTGGAAATCTATCTTCTTAATACGTAAAATAAAAATTTGTACAATTTATAAATAGTTACAAATAGTCTAAAAAATAAAGATACAACTTATTAATAGTATTCTAATATTATACATTCTAATATTTCAAGCATTAAAAAAAATTTATGTGTTGTAATTAGTTCAGTGGAATATCATATTGGTGCAATAGATCTTTTGTGGCAAACAGAATTTCTTACTGGCTCGGCACTACTGGACCATCATTTAATCTTGATAGTGCATGTAGCTCAAGCCATTTTGTCATGACAGAGGCTTACAATATGATCCGATCTGGAAACTGTGACGCCGCTATTGTTGCTACCGCCAATCTATGCCTCCATCCTTACATAAATTTTGGATTTTATCGCCTTGGTATATACTTGAATAATACTGTACTTACTTTATAATATACTGACAATATATATTTATATATTTGTCTAATTTTATTTATCAAAGTAAAAGTATTTAAATTACTGATATTTCCGTTTTAATTAATGATGCAAAATTAAAATAATTAATGTGAATATCGTAATGTATTTCTACAACTGAAAAATATACATGTTTATATTCGCGTCCTTAAGTAAAATAAAAATATGAATAAAATTTACTTTGCCCGTAATGTTTATTTTACCAATGCTTATCGCATATGGACTTGGTTAGAGGGAGCGTGTGTGAATGGTAGCGGTGAAAGTGCGTTGTGTGATTTTAGCTTTGTTTCTGGGTTTAAAGATTAGTATGGGGCAAGTAGGAATATTGGAAAGATAGGGTGTAAGCAGGGGATGCGATGAGAATGAAGGGAGATAGTTGGACGCAAGTAGAGAAAAGTTATATAAAAGTATTTAGAGACCGTGGTAGGATGAGGTTATGGTGACGAGTCGGTTGGGCGGTATAGGCGGGAAAGGTATGTAGGTAAAGTAGGGAAGGTTTCGATCGATTGTAAAGATGATTGTATGGTGAATGATTAGCTAAGGAGCCTTCGGTCGTGAATTAAGTATAGGTTAAGTAGATAGTTAAAAAGATGACAGGTTGAACTCTGAACTCAGAACACATGTGAATCTTAGTTTGGGACAGGAAATATTGGACAAGAATAAGAAAAGGAAAAGAGGTAAAGGATAGAAAACAGAGGAGAGGACAAGAGGCAGGTGAAAGAAGTGCTGTTATAGAAGAGGCTATACGAAAAAAGGGAGGATTAAATGTGAAGAGGATTATCGAAGAAGGAAGAAAATCTCTCGAGTTCCGTGTCAATGGAGTTGGAAAGAAGAAAGGTGAAATAAAGCTAGAACACAAGGATGGGCGGGCCTAGAGGCGTTCCAGGAAATGGAAAGTAAAAGAAGATAAGCATAGCTGAGGAAAGGTTAAGCCTACGATAAAGAAGAGATGTCATGAAAAGAAGAAAGGTATAGGAAAGCGTATTCCTGGCGTATTCCTGGAACAAGGACTGGCGAAACCTGTCTGCGTTGTAGGAAAGGAAAGGTAAAAGAAGGTGGACACGCAAGGCTTGTTTAAAGGATGCAGCAGTTTTCTGGAAATATTAGAATCTCTGAATGGCACGGAGGCGAATCCAGGTATATTAATTATGCAACGGTAGATAGGAGGCATGAGAAGATAACTAGAGAACGAACGTGCGAGGAGGAAATATATGTTGCTTCGGTGAGAACGAGAGAAGAAGAGCTGGGAGGAAATTTACTAGGACCAAATAAGAAGCAGTGTAGAGGATTTTGGCAAATAATGAAGAGGAACGGAGCGATTCGAGAGCACGGAAGTGATGCTATTGGAAGAAGAAAAAAGAGGAGGCAAGGGCATATATAGGGAGGTGTGATGAGTTCGGAAGGACTGGGGATATAGGATAGCATTAGTTAGATAGCAAGAGATTTGTTATTAGTCATAAGTTTATTATATGTATTGTAAGATGAGAGAGTTGCGTCAATATTTGAAGGTAAAGGTAAAGAATTATTAATATATTAAGATATGGTTGAAAAACAGGAAATAGTTGTAATATTAAGGTAAAGGTAGGGATAAAGAAAAAGTAGGATGTAAGGAAGGTTATTTTAGAAACAAAGAGAGATATGCGTCTAAAGGAGATTTGGGAAGAATTTAAGGAAATATAGGGAATATTAGTTGTTGCGCGTTGCGGTTAAAAGGTATGTGTTTGTGTATAGGTGTATAATGTCCGTTTCTTGGCTTGATACTGCCGAAGCGGACTAAGTCAAGTATTTCTGAGTTTAGGTTGTGAGTTTAACGTGTAAATAATAGGCTTAGGTGTGTTGGGGTTTAATTAAAGGATGGTTTTTCTAAAAGAAAATAAAAAGTACGGAATAAGGAATTAACAATGTCACGCGTTAGGTTAAAAAAGTTGGTATGAGTGTGTTTAAGGTATATTGTAAACCAAGTCCATTTCATGGCTTTGTATAGCTGAAATTAAATAAATCTATCTATCAATGCTTATCGCATATTTCTGCATGCAACAATAAAATTAAAACTGGAAGAATTTGGTTTATTATAGGATCAATTTTTTTCAGGGGTTCTGTCTTCTGATGGTTATTGTAGACCCTTTGATGAGGCAGGCTCTGGATATATGCGC